ACTCAAACACTTAACTGGAACCTACACCTGAATAATGTCATAAGCAACGCGAATAATAGAATAACCTATCTACGTCGCTTAGGAGGAATCATCAAGGGCGATAACAGTAAAACAATAACAAGTATTTATAAAGCATATATAAGACCTTTTTTGAATATGGTAACGCCGTTTTCTGTAATATGGCTAACTACCAAAGGAATAGAATTCAAAACCTCCAAAATAAAATAATCAAAACTACATACCGACCACCTAACTACACACCACCGTAGACCTTATGTAAATTCAAAAACATACTACCAATTAAAGAACGTATATTCAAACTAGCACCCAAATTTTACAAATACGCGGTTAAATGTAACCCGCGAATTTACACAGCTTTTCGACACCCCAGTTGCATGGCAACACTATTTATCCCCCATCAATATGATTAACCGCTTGCGTTTGTTTTTAATTATGCACAAAGATACACAAGGGCTATCTGTGCTCTGCCCACTACGGGTATCGAAACCTGGATTCTAACGTTGTAAGTCCGCAGACATACCGCTGTGCCACTGGGGGCACCACCAACTAGTAGGAAACACATACTGTATACATTATTTACTGATACTGTGTTTTATTCTAGCGTTTGGGCACTAGGAAGCAGACTATTCGGCACTCGCCTACTAAAAGTGGTTTTTCTCGGGGTACTCCCGTTTCCCCCAGAACTAAATTTCTCTGGATAGAATTTTTAGATCCCAGTCCTAAAAAGGACCGTTTTTCGATTATTTAAAAATCTTAATATAAATCCAAAATTTAAAATAACTAATAGCCCAATATTCAGTCCTAGGACTTTCTCCTATTGTTTCATTCAAATTACAGAAAATTAATCTATTTTCATAGTATTCCATGATAACTAAATTAAAGCTGTTTTTGGATATGGCTTTGGTTACCTTCTTGGAATCCTTGACCCCCCCCCCCCCCCACACACACACCATCAGTGACGTCACCACCCAGCCGCCGAACCTTTCCTTCTGTCCATATCACCTCATAATCAACTTCCGATTCTTTGACCTTTCCTATCACCTTAGGATGTTACCGACTCATAATACCCGCCCAAGTCAAGACTAGTTTTATAAACAAAACAAATTACCGTACTTAACAGAAACCCAATTTCTTTCGGCCCTTAGCCTTTTATCGTAATACAATGCTCTATGATCTAACACGTGTGGGGCGAAGAGAAACTATAGTTCCTGAGCAACTCTGATTGTCTTTCAAAAATCAAAATTTCTATGATGTGTGTTCTTTGTCTTCTGAAGATGGTGGAGCGTGTTGTATTGAAACATGTAGTTTTTTAGCGTATATATATTTCTGCTTTAACTTATTGTGCATATTGAAACGTTGTATATTATCGCCCTACATGCTTACATTTGAAGCATTTGCCCTTGTTTTCGTTATCAATCATATACCAGTGGAACTGTATACAACATTCACATAATGATTATTTATTCACTTCAACCGTCCAACAACAAACTATATCTATACTATACTATACGTGTTTTTTCGTAATGTTTCAGGAACTGGATTGTTTTAAGAAATTAAACATTTTATTTAACAAGATGTACACCTTTACAACCAGATGAGTAACACCAAGGCTGCAACCAGCCCTGCCACAATAACAATGTAGATCCCTAGCATGAAACGACGAAAGTTGCTTCCCTGCAGAGAAGAAGAAGAAAATATATAGTTTTAAATATACAGAAGACAATGTGATACCTAATAAAACTGAATGAACTAAACAATGCATAACAGAAACACAAGTTTACATAATCTGCTGCTTTTTTTTGGTTTGATTTACATTCAAAGATTTAAAAAAAAGCAGCTATTTACAAATTATCAATTATTTAAAGTTACATGTTAAAACTGGAATATTTCACAAAGTCTTCATACAGTTTTTCATTATTTATAGAACAGTATTTGACTGGTATCACAACACATTCTTTATACAATGTTTATATATATATATATATGTTTTCATATCCAAGTTAAAGAAGTACTGTAAATCAATTTTAGTTGACATGACAAGCATAACAAATATCAAACAGAAGATTTTAACTCATAAGACATTTCTGTTGCAAAAGTTTCCCAAAAATGTTCTGTTTTAAGAGTAAATAAAAGCAAAATTACGAGTAACAAATATTTTTTATTTCTTGTTTTGAAGTTCATATGTTGTGATGTGTTGCAGCCTACAGAGTGCATAATTCTTCTCATGATTCATGGCATGTGCACATTTTACTGATGTCATGAGAGTACAAATTGGAACACAAAGTGTCCCTTAAGTGACATACTTTTAGTGTCTACTGACTGACAGACAACACACTACTGTATATTGGTGTGAGTGGTTAAAACAGGAGACTCTTCCAGGCAGCCTTAGGCCCCATTTTGGGGGAATAATTATAATCATAGAGAGGGTTGGTTTTAATAGTCTATTCTATTATGGGTTAGCATCATTTCTAACATGTATAAGTATTGCAGTTCTGTTAGACACACTTCTAACCATGTTCTGAAAGCATCTGATGCAACTTGTTGCTGCTGTCAGTTTAATAGCTCAGCAAGTTGATAATGACTGAAGGACTACAGTCTAAAATGTTGAGCTAATGTCCCTATATGGTTTCAAAGTTGCTTCATTTAGTCAAAATTTAGGCTTTGAGTGACCATTTCAAGACACTGGCCACCAAGTGGCTCAGGAGTAAGTCTCAGAGCAAATAATGCTACAAATTGGGTTTCAGTACCTGCAGTGAGCAAACACAGATAGTTCCTTGTGTAACTTTGTGAATAACAACAAGTGAAGAAAGAAATGAAAAAACAACAACAAAAAACAAGACATTGACATTGTTACTTTGGAACCAGGTGTGGGTCAAACATTTCTTTGTGACCAGGACATTATGCTGCTGAAACAAAACATTAATCTGTTGACAAAAATCTAGGCCATACCCTTGAAGTATGTTCATTTAAGACCTCCTGATATTCATGAGCTTTGAAATGTTCACTCACATAGGTGCAATACCCAATGTACAGAATGCAGCTCACACTATAACACTAAAACTACAATCATAACAGTTGGCGGAACACAGTCATGAGTAAACTGTTCACCTGCCTACCTTCAAAGCCATACTCAGATGTTACTTTAAAATAGGTGAAGTGTTTTTATTCACTCCACAAAATGTATGACCAGTTATTAAGATTCCAGTGCCAATGAGCTTTACACTATGCAAGACACTGACAAGCATTATTGAAATGGTGTATTTCAGTAATTTTAAAGTACCTGTATTAATGGAGAACAAATAGCACAGATAGTATCCATTTATGTGTTTCCAGTGAACATGTACCATGCACTGATAGCACCTACAGCTAATCCGAGCATTTTGCAAATGATGTACTAGCAAAATTAGCAATGCTGTTGGATCGTCTCATGCACAGTACTTAACAATAATAAAACTGTGGCAATTTTTCACATACCAGTTTTTCTCACTGCTAATTGTGGTCTATAATTCACAACATCTGGCACCTTTACGTACAGTTAGACACCATTAATATGCTTATCTGATGGTCCCTGTATTTCTACTCACTAAATGTGTTTGGTGTACCAGATAATATGTTCAAGTAGTGTCCTCATATTATCGGCAGGGCAAAATATAATTCTCTGACAAATCATAGGTTTTAACAGATTCTTTTTGATAAAATTATGTTTATTACTACTTTGTTGTTCCAAATGACAGGTTTAAAATTATTCTTAAATAGAAGAAGAATGAACTGATTATTATAGTTTTGTTTACGTCAATAAACAACACCTGTAATCCATGCTAAAGGATGTACTGTCACTCTTATACTGCACCCACAGCTTAAAGTGCAGGAAATATTTTGTGGTATCACATGGATTAGAATATAACTTCCCAGCTCTAACATAGGGCCAACCCATGTTCATTCTAAAGCAGCAACTAAAACCACATTTGATATTTTATGTAAGACTGCACAATTTAATAGGTAATCTATTTTTATCTAACTGTCAAATAAGTAATAACAATTTAATTGCATATATTGTATATTATTCTATGTCTAAAGATAATTTTTAACAATTTCCAGAGCAATTGGATATAACTTTTAAAAAATATGCTTTGAAAATATTAGTTTGAAAGAATATTTTATGACAATACATTCCAGGAATATTCCTGGAAATCTCATTGTTATTTTGTTGTAGGTCATCTAATTAACTCCTTCCTGTTACAGTTTCCTTTGAAACATCATGTCTGTTTGGTTGCACCTATAATAAAGTATCAGAAGTAACTTTAAATTTTTTATGCTGATTACCCAACCCAAACTTGAGACAAAAAAGTGGCTCAAGTATATCATACTACTTCTAAGTTAGTAAAAAGTGCACTAGTAGCTTAGAACAATGTAAGTAAACAATGGTGGAGTAAAATTATCCAAAGGATTTCCTTTACACTTGTTGTGTCAAGTATTTTTTTCTTAATTAGTTGGTTGAAACAACACATGCAGAAAACTTTTACATAATACAGACTTACTGGAGCATCTTTTGGGCTATCTTGTTCTTCTCCATTTAATTCTTGTTTACCTTTCTCAGTTCCTTCTGAATACCACAAAAAATTACAATAAAGATTATGGCTGCGTGCCAACATAATTCTAATATTTTCACTATAAATACCCATGTAATAATTATGTAATTAATTCAGATGTACTTACTGTAACACTCATACATACAATAGCCACACAAGTTACACCCTGACCCAGTACATCTTGTTAGACATTCATACAATAGCCACACAAGATACGTATTGTAGTAGAATCTCAAGTAATATCAATTACAATTTTATACCAATTCACACAATAGTTTCACAATAAATACTTAGTAAAACACACATTTATATAATAGTAACACAAAGATACCTCATTACACACACCCACACACAACAGTACACAAGAACTGCACAACAGAAAGCCTAATTGTGCAATAATTAACAAGATATACCAATACAATTTTTTGCATATCATACAATGTTTCCAATGATATATTAGATATCTGCAGTTAGAAATTCTGGGTTATTGAGAAGATTTCTATACTACTTTAAATCAAGCTAAAACCTTACTCTTTCTATCCACGATGCATGCATGGATATGCATGAGCAGTTGGAAAAGGAAATAAAATGTGATGTAACCCACCAAGATCCAATAGTAGGCATAAGGAAGGTTAGCTGCTTCGAGCGACACCGCCAAGAATATTGTCAAAACTAAATTAGAATATAACAAGATAAATACATTTTTCTTCTTTTGGTCTGAAGGTTATCCCTTAAAAGTTTCCTACATATATCTTAGCCTGAAGAAACGATAATAACTTTTAGTTGCATCTTTAAAAACACAAGTACAAGAAATAAAATTCTCTGTGAACTTTCATTAAATAATTACCCATGTAACTCAATGTGTAATCTTCCATGACATTTAATGGTAAATAAGTAAACAGTATCAGTTAATATAACTATTAAAGTTTCAGACAAACTTTAATTTAACATTGTATTTCTTATCCTATTTCTTAAGTATAACTTCACTAACCTGCTAAAATTTTTGAAGTATTTCCCACAAACCAGTGAAGCCAATTGAAGATGGACCTGTTCTTGGCATCAGGTTTTGGAAGAAATAGAGCCATTATTGGCTGAAAAAGTTCGTTTTTTTTTATAATGAGTTATGCATTTTTAACACATTTGAGTATTATTTAAAAAACAAAGTTATGAATAAAATAATAGTTATAACTTTCAATATTATACGAAAAAGTGTTACTGTAACATTTTGTATAAAACCAGCTGAGAAAAGTATTTCACATTTTCTAGTGTTTAAATTAAAAACTTATTGATATATAATCATGAAAAGGGAAATATTTACATTAATAAAATATTTTTAAACTAGTATCTTCATAAATATAGGGTGAGAGAAGCTTGCCTAAAAAGTTTGGAAGCTGAATGTAATCTTCTTGCCAAGAATGTCAGTTTAAATTTAATTGTATTTTGATTCAACTCTGATCAAATTTGTTATGTCATATTATTCTAGTTTTTAGGTAGAGTTTAATACTCAAAGCATGACATATTATAAACATTTTGAGGTATTTAATACATGTCAATAGTAAAGCAGAAAAAATTATACTCGTTAATTTATCCAAAGTATCACATCGTAAAAAATACTTATTAGTAATGTATCAAAATTATTCAGCACATTAAGATATAACTCACTTGAAGTAGTGCTAGTCCTGTAGCTACACAGCCTGTAATAGGATGGGGGTTTGGATCAACCTAAAAAAAAAAGAATGCTTTGTCTTCCTGATAATTTTTTTTCCAACAACAAAAACTTTAAAACTTCATAACAATATCTGTATTAGCACTTATTTTGGAATTAATCATAAACACCCCACCACCACCACTTCCAGTGGCTCAACAATAAGTTTGTAGGCTTATGACACTAAAAACCAAGTTTTGAAACCTGCAGTGGGCCAGTACAGAATGCCCATTGTGTAGCTTTGATCTTAACAACAAACACAACACCAAATTAATGTCAAAAATATTTTTATGACATATTCTCCACCTGGTGTCAATTATGGTCAATTATTATTAAAAATAAAGCTAAAGTTAAATACAAAAATACAAAACAGCTAGTAAAAGATTGATACTAAATTCTAATATTTAAAAAATTCAGTTTAAAAAACTACAACCAGAACAAAGTGAGTAGGAACCAATACTGAATAGTAAACAATATTGTTGTGGTATTTAGTAATATGTAAAGATTTTTGTGTATGAAATGTTTCTTTACACCTCAAAATCTAATTGAGAAACTTGATGTCAAATTTTTGTGGCGTTTTTTAAAATTAAATCTTAATACAAATACTTTAAATTCAGTAATGCGATAACAAATGGCTCTGAAATCTATGCATCAGAAAGTGAGAACTCTTGTCATACAGTACGTTTATTTGTTTTTTTCATTACTGTATCATTGTATGCTAGTTATGTTAATTCCTTATCCTAGTGTACTATTTATTTTACTTCTGTAACACAGTATAACTGTTATTTTGCTCTCACCACACAATATGGTAGTTATTTAATTCCCTTCATAACATAGTATGCCCGTTGTTTTGCTTCTGCAAGTTAGTGTGTTAGTTATTTCATTTTATAATGCACTATATATGTATGTATATATATATAAATAAATAAATAGCTTACAAACTATTGATTACATTAATTGTTTATAGGCGATTAAATCAGCACTATAAAACAATATTGAATTAAATATCGCAATATCGTTATCAGTCTTGGTTGTCAGCTTATTGTCATAATGGATAATGTCTGTGGTAATAGCACCCAAATGCGTTGGAGATATCCCATCTATCAGACAATATCCAAATGTCGATTTCAATCTAGTCAGCTGTCATGGAAAAAATAAATAAATCATCAATCAAATAAGGGTACAAAGCTGAGTGCTTACACCCACAATGTCTTAGCTTCTACTGCCTTTCACTGTCTATAGCAAGTTGTGGGAAGGCAGATACCCTTAACTTTCTTAAAACAGAAATTAATTGAAGCTTCGTATACCCATAATTGATTGATAATTTAGTTTATTTTATTTTTATTTTCCATGATAGCTGACTAGATTGACATTGGCATTTGGATTTTGTCTTATAGATGGAATATCCCCAATGCATTTGGGTGCTATTACCACAGACATTATCCGTATGACAATAAGTTGACAACAAGGACCAATAACAGTATTGCGATATTTATTTCAATTCATTTGTACTTTAAAAAATTTAAGAGTATCTGCCTTCCCATAACTAGCTATAGACAGTGAAAGGCAGTAGAAGCTGAGACGTTATGGGTGGAAGCTCTCAGCTTCGTACCCTTATTTGATTCATGCTTTTTTTATTTTCCATGACAGTTGACTAGATTGACGTCGGCATTTGCATATTGTCTGATAGATGGTATAACCCCAATGCATTTGGGTGCTATTACCACAGACATTATCCATGATGACAATAAGTTGACAACCAGGACTGATAATGGTATAGCGATATATATACATATATATATAATTATTTTACTCCTCCAACACAAAATAAGGAAACTGAATATAGATGTGGATCAGGAATTTAATCTTTACCAGACTAGGCAAGAAATAATTTTCCTCATTTTTTTACAAAACTGCTTTTCAAGTGAAAATTGTTAGTCAGCAACATATGAAGCTTGTGTACTATTATTTCTGAAACTCAAATTTTCCTGAGGCAACTGAAGCAGGTGCCTTAATGTGTGTGCTACTCTTTGGTTTGTGGCTGTATAACTGCACAAACTATTAAATCATTTAATTTATAAAAATGGAAATAATACATAATGAAGTTAATAAAAATACCTAATCAATAAATAAAATATCAAAGTATGTGAGATATAAGTAAATTAAAGTAGTATTTAAATGTGAAATTGTTATGTAGGTTTACAAGTACTTGAATAGATATTCTAAATGTCAATAAGTTGTAATACAAAATTAAACAGTCTTGCATTAGAAACAACAGACAAAAATGACATGGGAGATGATTAATGAAGAATGCAAAAAACAGCAATTTAATCTCAACGAAGTTCCAAACAACATACATTTTACTGAAACACATATAAAGTAATTCCTCATGGTAACTTTAAACTTGAATCTTACTAAATTCAAGTGTGTTGATGGAAAAAGTGTATTTAACTTTCATTCATTTTAAATACTTATTTGAATAAAAGTAAGAACAAGTAATATTGAATATATCTTATATAAATAAAATTTCCCATTGGTTTCTTTTAAAAAAAAACAATGATTATATTTAACTTAATGTATATAAACTAAACTGTTCACTGTTTTATTTTCTCCCTCTATCTTTAAGCAAGTAAAGTTTTATAAAGATTATCTGTACTTGTTATGAAATAAGAAAGTATTGATTTTTACATGAGATAGATAAATCTAACCATTTAAAATCCTTCACTTCCATTAAACTGTACTCAGACATGATTTTCTCACCACTTAATAATATGTAAAGCATTCGTTTCAATGTAATTTTTATCAAGAATAAAGTAAAAACTAAAAAGACATATAAGGCCTTACTTGACTCCATCCTTCCACATGAAGGAAAATAAGCACAAACGCTGCAATTATCAGGGACAAGCTCAACAACATCAAAAACTGGTGGACCTGTGAAAATAGCAGAAATATGTCTTTACTGGGATCACTGTAGGAAGGGTAGATAAACATTTTAAAGTTATAAAACTATTAATTTAAATATAATGATGAAGTTTTAAGTTTTCAATTATTCTATTCACTTAACTTCACTATACAAACGGAAAACTGAATCTCTAATAATTAAATTAACATATGAGGATTATAACCATGGTAAGTCTGAGACTGGTAATAATCCTGCATAGTTTTTGTTTTTTATTAACAGATAAAGGTCACATTGTGAAGATAAATAATGTGAGTGTTCTATCAGAGTAAATTTTGCAAGATATTTTAGATGATAAAGATGCTTATGAGAAAGTGAAACAGGATAAGATCTTAAGATAAGACATTAAAAGCACTCAGTATTTTGTAAGATATGTGTAGTATTGATCCATTTATTAAAATGAGTGAAAGTATGAATGAGAAAAATGAAATCCCCAAAAACTCAGAACAAACAAAATGAGCTCAATATCTTATGGGATGTGCAATATTGATTAATTATGAATAAAAGAGGGAGTCTGAATGTGTTTCAAAAGATTAAGCTCACACAACTTCAAAAAATATCTTGCATAATTTTTGGGGTATTTATAAAATTAAATAACTATTCCAAAAAACCTAACAGAATGGTAATAAATCATATTCTAAAATTATCTTCTCACTGAATAATGCATATGAGATGAGAGTTACCATTTTGTTTGTGATCATTTGTAAGATACTTACAGCAAACCAAATGTTCATTGTGCAAAGTGTGTTATTTTGCCACACTTGCTTATAATGTCTTGCTATTATCATAGCAAGACCTACAAATCCAATCCAAGCTGTTACCATAAAACTCCCTATATGAGAGAAAAAAGAACTATTTCAAAGTTAGAAATAAATTTGTATGCATAAAGGTGAACAAGGTTTTGAAAATTTGTCTACTTAAGAATAATACAAGATATAACTGACTCATAACACTAGTTGTTAATACTGCTGATGTAAAACTCTTAACAAAGTAAACATGAATAATGAGAGTTCATGTAATTTAAAATATATGGGGAAAATATGTTTCATCCAAAATAAATGTATTAATTTAGAAAAAATCATTGGTTGGATTTTAACTTCATAACTTAATTCAATAACTACTTTTCAACTTAAAATTTTTCAGAAAGAAAGCAAGAAAGCCTGAACAATCTATTGCAAAAGAGGAATAATTTCTATTACAAAGTTTATTTACTTAATTAACCATTACTTAGCAAAAACAAAATGCTGTAAAATTTTCATTTACTTCTAAGGAGGGATATTAAAAGGTTTGACATACATTTGTTTAGATCCATCATTCTTGGCTAAGCAAAAGACTGACAAAGTCCTAATTATAAAATATCTAGACTTTTTTGTTTTATTTTTCTTAATGGAATACTAAGAAGCAGGGACTTAAAGAACAACAATTAATACCAATAATCAGGGGCAACATTTTCAATAATAAAAGTAGAGATACTCAGGTGGGTGAAGTGGACCTCTTTTTGAAAAAGAAAAAAAAATCTGTGTAAACATAAAAAACGACAAAGCAGCTCAAATAAGTCCTGGTACTAATACTGCCTTACAAAATAAGTTCCAGCACTCAGTACTGGTAAGTACTGGCAGAATTTCACCCTTGCCAATGATTATTTTTTCTGTGTTCATTACCATGCAGTTTAATGAATAGTGGCACCTTGTCACCTTCCACTGTTGATATCAACATCAGGTTTACTGGTTTATCTGAGACAGCTCTTTCATTATGTTTCCTCTTAACTGTTAAAAAAACAATCAAAACAAATGTAAAAACAAACAAAATTATTAATCTTTGTATCAAAACTAAATATGTTTTATTTAATAACAAGAACTTTTGTTTTGCACAAAAGTGATGTATATATATATACATCCATGTTATGCTTGTCTCTAAAACAGTACAATTAAACAAGAAGTAAAAAAGGGTGAATTATGACCAATGCAGTAAAATAAGAATATCAACTCCATAATATTTTTAAAAGATTGCATGAAAGGACAAATTGACTAAATAAACAAAGATGACTTATGGTTAAAAAGTTGTATAACCTGTTTAAGGCTCAAATATTATAACATATCTGCCTTAAGTTAAGGCATCTGACAATGACAAAACAATGTTGAAACGTTGTACATTTGTTACTGTGCTAAACTTGTAATATAGTTTTTCATTACTCACCAAGTCACCTCCAAACTTTATTGTGAGTATTTGACACTCTTCTGTTGTAAATCAGGGTACATGAATGCCACAGAATCATAACCTGATGAATTTTGCACCTGTGACTTGTGATCACATACAAGTGTACTATCTCACCACTGCTTTATCAAGTTGCAATGTTTAGTTAATTAGATTCTTTAAGACACTGCCCTAAAATGTATGTGCTCAAAAGACAGAGCTAGCTGTCATAACAAAATCATCCATTCTGAAGGATAGATGTGTCAACAAAAAGATAATCATTTGTCTCCTGATCTTTGAAATTCTACACTTCCTCAAGAGCAGGCAAGTTGGTTTTATGGATTTTGTGACACACAGATCAGTACTTACCAAACACTTTAAATGATTGGAATAAGAAAACAATACAATTTCTTGAAATATTTACATCAATACATGTTTTCCTTAAAACTTTTATTTAAGCAAATAGCAGTTTCTTTGAAAATACCTTATCACTGTTAAAGGTTCTGTAGCATTTTGATTATTATTCAAAGCTTGTTTCTTGTACTAGCTTAAAAAACGTCTCCCTTACTCTTAGTAATGTCTCATTTTCTGCAATTGCAATAATCATGAACATGTTATAAGATACCACCACATCACAGCCAGCTAATGCATGTGTTACGTCTCCGTTTGTTAATTAACTTTCCGTAACTTCGTTCCGACGAAACTTTAGCGACACAAGTCCTTACTTAATAAAACTGGTTTATTCTTTCCAAATATAACTTTACGATACACTTAATTTCAACAATCGCGCTAAAACAAACGCTATAACAACAAACGTGCTCAATAATACTCTCTTATACCCTCTTATATATACCAGACTACCCTATATCTAGTAATCTCCCGACAATTCCCGAAGGTTCGAGAGAACGAGTCATGTGACCTCGCTGATGCAACACATGTTTATAACACTTGAACTGTCTTTAGACCTTGGATTATTGTTACTCTTTACATTCCCCTAATCTTCTTATTGTGAAACTGATATAAGCACCCTCAAGTGTTGGAGAATGGAATTCATAAATCACACAAGATCATCGAGGAAGGCAAATATTATCTTTAACTGGGAAAACATTTTAAATTCAAGTAAAACGTTTTAAACACACATCTTAGCTTAATTTGTGAATAAACTCTTCTTTACAATTTGACTGCAGTGGACACAAGAAGCCAGCTTTAAATAAACATCAAAATGATACAGAATTATAATTGTAACTTAAGAAATTTTAAAGTTTTAGATTCTTTCAGTTACTAGTTAGAGTTTAAAGTCAGTTAGGCCTGTCTTAAGCTCATGCAGCCATATCGTGCCAACATCTCTCTTTTGTTTTTACCAAATCACATTCTGTGTTTCAAGTTGATTTAAACTGTTGGTTGCTTGTAAATCAGTAAATTTTTCTTCACTGTCTCAAAACCCAAATTTATAAATCTTACTTTCCTAGGTAAGACCTGAATACTGACTTATCGTAGCTACCTGTAATCTAAGGGTAAAGGCATATTACATCATACAAGGTTAAAATCAGATGGTACCTACCACCTTCTACACTCGCAGGTCCTTTGACGAGAAGAAGATGGTACTTTTTACCTATTATGCTCTGAACAGTGTTTTTCCTGGTTGCAATAACTTTCTGTTTCCAGTGGCAGGTTATCACACCATCCACATACTCTCCTGACTGATCATAGATACCAAGTTCCTACAAATATGTCAGCCAAGAGTGATTATGTAAACTTAAGATATAAAAATACAATATTTTTGATAAGTTTTTACTAATTATAACAAAGTCTTCAAAGATATTCTATCTCTTTATCAAAACAAGCCAACCAACATTAATAAGATATATTTTTGGATAAACATAGTATTCTTAAAATGTTCATGAATATTGCACCTTAAAGATATCTAATATTACATGACAAAGTTCCCAGTGGTAAAGGAAAAAATTATTTTTTCTAGGTCAGGGAGAAGTCAAGAAGTTTCTAGTAGGTCAGGGAAATTTAATATTTTGCCAATGGTCAGGAAAAGTTTGGAAATATTTTACAATAGGTGGATTTTATAAATATTTGTTCCTACTATGGCAATCTTTGGATATCAAATGCATTACAAATGATATTTGTAACTTGTACATTTATACAAAGATATATTATTGTGATATATCTCAAGATATAAATAAACTGGTGGGAAAAAAGTGGCTATAAAGGTGATGGGAGGCTGTTAAAGATAATTTTTGTTGCATTTTGGTTAGGGAAAGATACTTTAATAATATTGAAAATCATGAAATTTTTTTGGCTTTAGAACAGAGAACTATGGATGATTCATAAGAAATATAATAAAAACATTATGTTAAAGTGCATCTATTTACTAACTAGTGTTAATAATATTTTTCTAATTTTATAATGTTAACCAGATTTTTGTTTCGCATAACACTAATGCAGCTGATTTCAAAGTGAAAACACAACTTTTTGATCTATAATTAAACAGAATAAAAATTTCACTCTAGAAATAAAACAAATTTAAACTTTCCTTCAAAAAATTACATTTCAAGTTTTTTCAGTTTCACTGTAATTTTCCATTTTGGATACAAGTTTTTCATCTTATTCATGAATTTTAACTTCTAATTACAGTCATTGCAAAGTTCTTACATTATCCAAAACTTCATTTTTATAAGTTGAATTAATGTTCCAACTCTGTCGAACAACAACTCTTCTATTTACCAACATACATTCAGTTATGCTGTCTTCACCCTGCTTTAAAGAATGACAAAAGTAAAAGTATTAATAGGTAAGAAACAAGAACACAGAAAACTATTAAGTACTTGGTTCAAAACATCTAAAATGGGTTTTAATAAACCTCTTACATAGATAATACATTTTCTGGCTGCAGTGAATTTCTTACATTAATATGATATCTTTTCTTTTTTATTAATCATTAATGTCTTGTACTCACTATATGTTCTATAAATTTGATAAAATATAAAATTTTCCTTATATAAGCAAAAAATTGTTGTTTTTATACAATAATTGTTATGTAGTTTAACTAAGTGAACTTCCCAGTTCAATCTTTATTATGAGTAATTAGATGTTAAATGTTTATAAAAACTTTTAAATAACAAAACTTGGTACCATTTTAACATCTTCCGAGATTCCAACAGCAATGTACTTATCAAACAGCCCTAGAGTACCAGTCATCTTAAACTCTACCTCACCATTCTTGTAAACACAAGTTAAGATTACATAACAGTTCTTGTTTTTGACACATAGTGCAGGCATTCCAAAACAGCTTTTTCTCTTAGCCTCACAGTCACTATACAAGTCCACAGAGAGTTCAGGCTTTCTCTGAAAAATTGTTATAATTATAAAATACAGCAAAAAGTAAGCAAAAACACAACATTTGTAGGTGTCAATAATAAGCAATACCTGTTTCACACATCACAGATGGATGTTTAATGAAAAGATTAAGAAAAATAATGTGTGTGTATTGAAAATTAATGTGATCATATTGAATGATATATCAATTTGATATGTATCTTAGAATTCCTTAAAACATTTTTTAATTGCATTAGGACGATAACAGAAATCTACATATAAACACTAATCAAACATTAAATGCTGTATTCTGTTAATAATTAATCTATAGAATTCCAGAACTATGAGCACACATTATTTAAAAAAAAATGACAGCTATGACAGCTGCCACTTTTTGTAGCATGATTTGTTTTAAGTTTCTCCATTTAAAAACAACTAACTAGTTAAGTTTTATCTTACAAATCTTATTTTTGCTTGTAATATTAGCTTAATAAGATACTGGTTGGTCAAGTATGAAAAGATACATGATGAGCCAAATCACAATACTCACTTCTGGCTGAAGAGATGGACCAACAACCCAAAGTGGTGATGTATCAATATTTACCCAAAAGGTCTTAAAATCTTTCAATACTGTGCCCCTAACAACATACACAAAAAGAAAACAACAGAAAAATGGATTCTGCTCATAAGAATTTTCATGTTAAATAGAACAAGTTTTGGATAATATTTGTCAAAGTATTAATACTGTGCAAGTATTTTTAAGATGATGTAAACAGTCTCTTAAAATGTATTTTCTATAATGACATAAAGAATCTGTTAAAACACAGAGCTGCTTACATGCTTCTTTAACTGAGTTAAACTTTATACAAGAAATTAAGTTATTACATATTTTTGCCGTCCACATTTTACATAATAATATATTTTAAAACTTACAAATTTCCACGAATACACATTTAATTATTATTAACTCCTTATCAAAGCAACTACTAAAACAGATCAGAAACAAAAATTAATCCAGTAATTAAAAACTAATTTAATATACCAATCTATCTAGGAGTACACAACATCGTAAAACAAAACTTCATAATGATTAAAATGCATTGACTCATCAGTTGAGCAACACTATTTCTGGCCATAACAACAACATTACAAACTCGTCCATAGTCCTCTCTAGCTATGTACATGATTCCACTTTCCATTACTATAACCTTAAATCTTACCTAAATATTACTTTCCCTTTGAAGTTAGCAGGAGGTATCCACTTTGTTATAAATTCTTTTTTATCTTTCACATTTCCATGAGTCAAGGAATTCTGCAACACAAAGAAGTAAAAATTGTGTGAAAGCATATTTGTATAAAAGGGCTTCAAGCACTTTATTCACTGAATTTTCATTTGATTACATTTTGATTTCTATAAAAAAAACTACAGGACAGCACAGACCTTTGCTACACATAATAATTAAAGATCTAGACTTAACATACCTTAACTCATTCAGGAGTATACATAAGTTTGAGTTCATTATATCAAAATAATTTTGAATAATCAAATCAGCTAGTCACATGAAGACCACAGCCAATATAAAGCTGTGGTGGAAAGGCATGGATCAGAACTACATTTATATTGTTAACAATTTCATAGCAAGTGTGATGCCACCAAAAACTGATCACTTTCCAATGCAAAATATTCTTTACATTCAGATCATAAAGATGTGTTCAGATTGTGGATTTAGCATTTACAAGATGGGAATATCCCTTGTACTTAAATGCACTGGAAAACAAAGGAATATGGACTAGCTTTGGGCACCATGACCATCCAAAAAGACCTGCAACAAGTCACATACCAGCCCTGGTAAGCAAAGTATGGTGTCTTGTAGTAGGTGGGAATCCACAAATGCAAAGGTCAGTGGTAAAAGCCATCCATGTACCCCAGGTAACAGTTAAAAATAAAGAAAAAGGGAGTCTGTGTGGAAAAGTGACACAAGTCAGGTGTTCAAAAGTTGTTTCTATGACATATCTGTTCAATTAACCATCAAATACTTTAAGCAACTGGAGAATGAAACAGGTATTTCATATGCAGTCTATGAAGACATACTGGTCAAGTCACTGGATGCAGTGTGTATAAATCTATTTGCAATTGGATTGTTGAAACAGATATTGGAAAACATCCTCCTCCTACACTAGGTGGCTTATGGCAAGCCTACAGGGAGAAGTTGTGTGCTTTTGACATGACAGTCTTATGATGGAACCTTCTGCAATGGAAATTATGCTCCAGGGTTCTTGTTAAGATACTTGGTTATCAGAAAGAGCATGACCAAACATGGCAATGTGGACTGTAATGATGTGATAAGGCTCCAAAGTTGCTTTAATATAACTACTCAACCCCTATTTTACAGAATAGTAACAATATGAAAGGTGTTTAAAATGATATATTAAATATACTCTTGTAAAGGCCCATACGCAAGATGTTTGAAAGGGGGTTTTTAATTTGTGAGATCAGAAGCCAACACATATTGTATGAAACACAATTACCATGCTAATGCTACAGGGGTCTGGCAGCATGCAACTATTTCAAGCCAAAAAAAATGCTAAATATCATAATCAGCTGTACTATAACTATATAAATATAACTTTCTTACATCACAAAAATTGGGGGTTTGGCTGAAGCCCCTCTGTGCATATGTGTGGGTATTAAGTTGACAAAATTTCTGGAATGTCAATGATAATGCCATTACTTTATATACATATGGAGGATTACACTTATTTGTATTTGACGAGCTATTTTACTTATGTATAAATACACAGTCAAAAAGCATAAAGGAATGCCAATACCTTTGGCCATTTAAACTAGCCTCACAACATAGGTGCAGCCAGGACAATCAAAATTGAATACCAACGAGATAATTTTGTCTGCAGCACACGCATGTCAATGGTATGACCAAAGCATGCTAGTCATTGGAAAAACTTAGTAATTATGTGACAGAGACCATATAATGAAAACTTGGCTACAGTTGCGAAGTTCCATTGCTATTGAACATAGGTAGAGGTGGACTACTCAAACCAAAATAGAACTCACAGTCACATTTTCAATGTCCAATAGTTAAATTTGAATACAATAACAAAAGGATAATTAACCTTACTAGAACACCGACCTTGAACCTACTTCAATCAATCAAAACCTAATCCATAGCCGTTATTCGGCAGTTCCAATAACCTCGATGCAATTTCAACTATTAATATTGTTTTAATGTTCTTCACAAATGCATACTAATACAGGTTTTTAAAAAAACAAACAATACTGTCATATTGGTTAATTGACTTGGAGTAAAACAAAACAATATGATAAATATTAGCTTGAATAGAAACTTGTACAGTAAATAATAGTTAAAAGTGGTTCCAAGTTCTGTAGATAAGCACACATGCACTTGCCGTTTCTGGTATTTACATCTTTTCATATAAAACGGGAGTTTGAATTCTTTTCATTTCACTAAAGTTAATTAGAAAATAAGGAATCGTATAAAACATTCTTATAAAAACATCTCAACAAATGAAAAAACAAGAATTTATTTCTAATATGTAAGTTTTTAGTCAAAAAATTATCCACACTTGATAATTTTTGTAAAATAATATCATGAAAAGCAAAGTTTATGGTGTATGCACATAGTTGAATACAAGTTTAGAGTATAGTGCAATAAAGGAAATACAATACTTTCAATTATGTTATATACTAAACGTTAGAAGAAAACTTTGTATCATTAGTATGTGTGGAAAACACAATATTGATAAAAAATAAACCTTTTTTGATGAATTGCAGTTTATAAGAAGACTGTTCTCGTCCGCAGTAAACCTTCCATTAACGATATGTGATGAGTTAGCTTTCAATCGAGCCTCCAGAAGAAATCCTTTAAATGGTTCTCCTCTTGAAGCAGAAATTGTAACTGAAACGGAATTTTCTTCAATGTCACTTTTAAACTGCAAGGACAAACGCATTCATAAATATTAATACGTAAAGGACAAAACAAAGAACTTTATAGTTCACCTGAAGAGTTTTAAGAAACTACTTCATCCACCTGTTTTAAAGCTCATGGGTGATCCGCTAGTGCAGGTCTCAGAGGCGTCGCCGGGTCATTTAAAAAGAAAAATGACGGGGGGTGGGGGGGGAGACAATAAACAAAAAGAGACCTACTTTTCAGTTGCGGGTCCACTCTTATATCTTATGGATGCTTCTAGAAGTTTTAGCTGTTTTTATATTAATACTTTACTTTCATCACATGTTCTCTATGCAAAGTAAAATTTATTTGTCTGTAGGAAAGAGCCCTCTATATGTTTGTAGAAAAAGGCCTTCTTTGTTTGTTGAAAATAGTTCCCTATGTTTTTGTCAAAAGAGGACCCTGTATGCGTCTATCGTAAAGGGCTCACATACGTATAAAAGGTAAAACACCATGTATCGAATAGGTCCTTAATATTTTCTTAGAAATTTCTCATTTCTAAAGAGTATTGTTACGATTGCGGAAGTCACGTGACCCTAGTAACACGTCATGATATTCTCGAAGATTCGTGAATGCTCGAATGTTTACTAGATGTGCGGTATTCTTGTACATAAGACCGTCAAGAAGTGACGGCAACAATGGAATTGAATTGCAAACAGAGATAGAGATGGACAATTGAGTCAAGCGCGTGAATCGTTCGTTGTGAATTATAGCGTTTGTTTAAGTTATAGCTTAACTGTGGAAATAAAGTATATTGCAAAGTTGTATTGAGAAAGAATAAATTAGTTTTATTTAAGAAAGGATTTGTGTCGCTAAAGTTTCTTCAAAAATAATTTTTACGGAAAATTAATAAACGAACAGAGACGTAACAAATTTGTGTCAGAGAGTGGGACGAAAAAAAATGAAACGAAGAGTGGCAAATCAAACTACAGCTTAGCAAATTTGATGGCAGCAATACAAGAGCAGCAAAAGAAAGAAGAAGAACGAGAAAAGAAACAAGAAAATAAACAAAAAAGAGACAACAGCAGTTGCAAGAAAACCTGCAACAGTGGCAGCTCAAACAGCAAAATAAACAAGAAGAG